CAAGGAGACGGAGAATAACCTGCAAAAGACTAGCCAGGAATTGAATACCACCAAAAATACCTTGCAAAAGACCCAAATGGAATTCGCCCAAAAGGATGAGGGAGGCAAGGAGTTGCAAAATAAATTGGCCGCCGAAACGGAACTAAAGGAACGTGCCACCCAGGAATTGAATCAGGTGAAAAAACAATTGGCCGATTTGGAGGCCAACTTGTGTGCCACACGTCAAGAGCTGGGACGTGCCCGTTGTCATGCCAATCAGGAGGAACATCGTTTCCATAATCGTGAACAGGAGCTGTTGGCACGTTTGGAAGAGGCGAGGGGTCGTGAAAAACGGCTGGAAGATCAAAAACATAACTTGGAGGTGTGTCTGGCCGATGCCACACAACAGATCCAAGAACACAAAGCCCGGCTGGGTGGCGCTGAGGGACGAATTCGGGCCCTGGATGAACAGTTGGCCTGTGTGGAACAGCACAAACGGGAGAATGAACACAAACTAAGTTCCGTCATTCACACCCTACGCCGCATAGCCGGTATACAAATTGATGGCAGTGTTAATCTGTCACATCGCCTGGTCAGTCCCTCAAGACGTTTCAGTCCGGTGCGCAGTGTCTCAGGCGGTGTGGCGCCCAGTTGCCATGATTTCGATCAACGTAGCACCTCCCATTGTGCCGATGGCCCTGCCCTTGATGTCGACCCCGATCTAATACGCAAGGGTGTGCGCTGCCTCATGCACCAAGTTGCCCAAATCGAACGCGAGAAAGACGATTTCAAGATGCAATTGATGAGTACCAGGAAACAGCTGCAAGATGCTGCCGATCAACAAATGAAATGCGATGCCAAAGTTTCGAAGCTGCAACAAATGATAAGACATCTGCAACAGGAGAAGAGTAATCTGGACACTGAGCGTAGCATGAAAGTCTCAGCTTTGAATGCTCTCGAAGAGAAATTCCAAAAGAAGGCCGATGAATGCCAACAGCTAAGGGAGAAGTTGGCCCAAACAGAAATGCAATTGAATTCCTGCAGCGAGGAGAACTCGCAAAACGAAGAACGTCTGGAGAAGTGTCGGCAACATGGTGCCAAGTTGGAGAACGAAAAACGCCACTTGCAGGAGGAACTGGCCAAGATCGAGGGACGGGCAACTAAATTGGATTTGCAACGTGTGGCCTTGGAGGGAGATATTACACGCCTACAAATGGCCATGCAGGAGAAGGATTGTCACATACGGGCAGCCCAGGAACGTTTGGACAATCAAAATAGGTCCATGGCCCAGCTGGAAGATAGATGTGCCTCACTCAAGACCTCGCTGGATCAAATGAAAGAAAGGCTACAAAAGGCCGCCGTGGTTGAGGCTGAACTAAGGGGTGAACTTAAGACGGCCAGCAAGGAAATTTCCGAACAAGGCCATTGCTCCCAGGCCAATGAAGATAAATTGAAATTGCTGCAGAAATCCCTGCAAACTGCCGAAAATGAAAAACGCATTCTGAGCGAGCGTTTGGAAAAGGCCCAGTCATCCATTAACGACCTCAGACGTGGCCAGCAGGCCCAACTCGATAGTGCCCAACGTTTACAGGATCAAGTCAATGATTTGGAGGTGAAAAACTCTGCCCTGGAATCACAACTTCGCATAGCTAAATGGAATCAAGAATCGGGTGACAAGAATCCCAGTTCGAGTAATCACCTCGGCGAAGAGGATGAGCTGAGTCGCCAATTGAAGTCTTCACAAAGAGAGAAATCCGAACTGCGCAGCAAATTGCAAGTACTGCAGGATAAGGTAAAACAATTGGAATCGGAGCGAAAGAGCAAGTTTGCCGGTGATAGTGTTTTCGATCGGTCGGAAAAATCGACAATGGGCGGAGGGGGAGGTGGTGTTGGAGGCCAAAGTTCTTATTACGATGGCAACTACGATTCAAACCGCTTGGAGAACAACACGGCCGCCAACAATATTTATCAACGTAAAAGCTCGGCGGCAGCTGCTGGTGGCGGTGGCAGCTTCAACTGTGGCCTAGATCATGCTGTCATTGAGCAGGAAAATCGCGATCTACGTTTGAAGGTGCGCCGTTTGGAAACCCTTTTAGCCGAGAAGGAATCCGAACTCGCCCGTTGCAAGGCACGCATTCATGACAGCGCCAAATGTATGGATGGCATGGATACGGAACGTTATCGCAGCGCCCAAATGCATGCCGAAAAGCTATTGGATGCCCGTGAGCAAAGTCATCGTCAACAAGTTTTGCGGCTGGAGAACCAGGTATGTTGCGAAATTTAAGACTTTTGTGTAGGTAGGGGAGGGTAAGAAATGTATTTATTACGACTTCAGGCTTAGCGGGAAAGTAATACATGTAATTATTACGAATTTAAACTTAAGGGCTGTAGATGTTGTATATGCAGCTTAATCACGAATATTGCTCTGCCTTTGGGTAAGCAGGATTATACATCGTCCCTGATGTCTTTGGAGGTCATGTTGAACCACCGTGATAATATAACATTTTTAATATACCCGTTGAAACAGCTTTCCCTAGGTTTTAGACCCTAAGTCTCTTTGGACCAAACCCATTTCAGGACATTTGGAGTCGATCTAGCGATGTCCGTCCGTCCGTCTGGCTGGCTGGTGCGCACGATAACTCTCGAAGGCAATATCGGATTTGATGCAAACTTGGTACATCGAAATATTATTATGAAAATTTTCAAAAAAATATTTTACTGCACAGAAGGAGGAAGGGTAATCCGATTTTTCTCCAACTTTGCAACTCTTAATATTTGCATTAGTACTAGGTCAGGTGCGAAAACGGACAACATCGGTGCACTCCATCAAGTACCTCCCCGACAAAGGGTAAAAATTTTGAATAATTATAGCTCTTATAAAATGTGATATACGAGTCTGATTGTCTTCAAATTACATACATAACAATATTTTTATTAACCCAAGGTCTGGTGTGAAGATGGAATACATAGGCCCACTCCTTCTGGTACCTCCCCCACAAAGGGTCAGAATTTTGAATATTTGTAAAGCTCATAAATCGGGGTATTAACATCCTATTCCATTCAGACTTAGTATATCTCAATATTTCTATCATCACAAGATCTGTTATGAAAGTGGTAGAGATCGGATCATTCCTTCTGATACCTCGCCCACAAAGGGTCAAAATTTAGAATATCCATGAAGCTCATAAAACGCGAAATTAACATCCGATTCCTTTTAGACTTCGCACATCTCAATATTTCTAGCAACACAAAACCTGTTGTAATGATTGAGAATGTCGGACCATTTCTTCTGGTACCTCCCCCACAAAGGGTCAAAGTTTCGAATAACCAAAACGATCATAAAATTCAAAATATGCATCTGGTTCTCTTCATATTTTATACATAACCTTATTTCTATTATCACAAAATCTACTGCAAAGATGGGATATATCGGTCCACTTCTTCTGGTACCTCCCCCACAAAGGGTCAAAATTTGGAATATCCATGGAGCTCATAAAACGCGAAACACATCTAAATATTTCTAGCAACACAAGACCTGTTATAAAGATGGTAGAGATCGAACCATTTCTTCTGGTAAATACCCCATACCCCACATAGGGTTCAAGATTTTTAAAAACAAAACGCTCAAAGAAAGCGAAATAAGTATCCAAATATCTTCAAACTTCACACATGCAGACACTTTTGCTAACACAAGATCTGTAGTGAAGATGGTACATATTTGCAAACCCCTTCTTGTACCTCAGCCACAAAGGCTCACAATTTTCAATACTTTCATCTGCCACAACCTGCAAAACAAGTCAGCGATTCTTTACAACTTGCTATATCTAAATATTTCTCTCAACCAAAAACCTGAGATGAATATGGAATTTATGATTTTGCATAAAATTGGATATAAATGTTCGATTCGTGTGCAAAAAATTGTGTATAGGTCCATTAATGTTCACTTCAGGGTTCGCTATTGCTGCCAGATTTTATGGAAACATGATAATATTACTGTCATAGTCCATAGCAATATATTTAAAATTTTGTTTTATTTTCTCTTTTAGATCTCCATGTTGCGTGAACAACTGGCCCAGGAAGCCAAAAGACGTCAACAGTACATTTTACGTAGCTCCAAGGCAAATCGGGAAATGCAACATTTACGTAGTACCCTAGGAGATTCCTTGCGACATGTTTCACAGCATCCATTGGATCCCAATCTATTGGAGAGTGAATCCAGGAGGTAAAGATCGTAATTTCTTCTTAACATGAAATACTGATCTGTGTTTTCTTTTCCCAACAGATTGGACAATGCCGTATCGATGAGTCTACCGCCATCAACCTGTCGTGATTATGAACGCGATTAAAAGGGGAAAATATGGAACTGTCCTAACAAACACTACCTAATGCATTTATTTTATTTTTTTTAAACCAAAGAAAATATTTTTTGAATTAGAGAAATAATGCCACACACATTTTTTATAGGCATCCTGTGCACTCATACATATCTACATATCTAGAATAAGTTAGATGAATACTACCAATACCAATACACCATACAAACACTGAAATCATTTTACATAATCGAAAAGTCAAGCAGATTCAATAAAACCCATAACAAAAAAAATCACCTCAACTCATTATTTTTTTATGGACAACAAGAAGACCAGAAATTGTTGCAGAGAAATAGCTTATCATTGTCTACCTAGGAAGACAATTGAATATAGTGTGTTCAATATATGTAGAGAAAGAGAGAGAAAAATCAAGTTTGGACATGATCACTCATTTAGCTGGCAGCAAAAATAAAAAGGATATTTATGTGACACGGTTACTGTTCTCCTGTTTTAAAGAAAGAGAACAGTCAACATACAAAACACTTTTTTTTTTTGTTTAAAGAGCAAAGAGTAAGTAATGGTAGATAAAACATTTTAAATTTAGCATTTAAACATTCATCATAACAACCAACCAACCTACAAACAGACTCACTCACACACAACCATGTTACTAATATTTGATATATGAAAAAATAATAAAAAAAAATATTTACCAAATGTTTCTTTTGTATTTCATTTATTTCTTGGGTTTTGCTTCCTTTAACAGGTCTTCTAAACATTTAACAACAATTTTCATATTTGCTTTTTGCTCCGACAATTTGGCTACCTCACCAACAATGGCAAACAGAGCTTTTGTCTTGCCACTTTGGTATTGTTTAACAGCTTTGCTGTGTTTTTCAATTGCTTGTTGGCAATATTCGTTGATGGTTTTAATGTCGGAAATTTGTTCAAGGTTATGGGTTTTTATAAGCTGAAATTGAAATTGGCCATTATTATTATTTTTTTATCAAAAACGTTCCTGTATCATTTCAATATTTACCTCATTGACCTCGGCAGTGTGGTATTCATGCAGTAATTCAATTAATTTTCTTGCAGCTTGTAAATTGATTTCTTCGGCATGCAAAGCTTTTAATATGTCCTTCAAGTGGTTATAGGTTAAATGGCTAGAAAATATGGAGTAAGATTAAGAACAAAGGGTTTTAAGATTTTCAAACCAAAAATGAAAATACTGGCTTACCATTCCTCGATATCGATATTAACTTTATTGCAATAGGTGAGTAGATCATTTATCAGGAAATTTGTAACAGTTTTGGTGGGTATTGCCGGTAAATTGCTTATGATTTGTAGAAAATAGTCAAGAAGAATTGGCTCATTCTTGAAATAAAAATTTATAATATTCTATTATTTGCTTAATTTATGCATACGACTTTTACCTACCACCAATATAATGGCTACTTCCTGATTCAGCTTATAATGCTCCTCTAAATGTTTGCGTGTTGCTTCGGGCAACTCTGGCAATTGCTTTGCTATGGCTGGTACTGAAACTAATGATGAGGGATCTGTTTCATCGCACTTATCATCGGACACATTTAAATGTAATGCGGGAAGATTCGGCTCTGGCATAAAACGATAATCTTGTACAACTTCCTTGTCACGCATTGCCACCGTGCAACGTTTCTCGGCATCCCAAGAGCGAGTCTCATTTATGACGGTACCACCTTGTGAAACAACTTCATATTGACGTTGTATTTCATAGCTAACAGCTTGGGATATGCTACGCACGGAACCAATATTTTTCACTTCAGTACGTACGCCATATGGTTCGCCTTCTTGATGTATGGAAATATTGGCATCAACGCGGAGGGCACCTTCTTCCATTTTACACGAACAGGTCTTTAAACGACGTAGTATAAGGATAAGTTCTTTAATTAACGAGGCAGCTTCTTCGCCCGTCTCCAAATCGGGGGCAAATACCAATTCCATAAGTGGTAAACCGGCACGATTAAGATCAACTAGACTTCTACGCATTTCATGGTCATGCAATGATTTGCCACTGTCCTGTTCCAATTGGAGTTGCAATATTTGTACAGTCTTGTAATAGATTTTCTTGCCGGGTACAATAACTGGAAATGTCATTCGACCATTGTTGGCCAAGGCATTTCTTTGTTGGGTGATTTGATAGCCAGCCTGAAATTAAGAAACATTACTTGCCGCCAATATATATACTTGATTTCACTTACCGGCATATCAGCGTAAAAATAATGCTTGCGATCGAACATGGAAATCTGATTGACTTGACAGCCCAAAGCCAAAGCTGTTTTTACACCCAATTCAACACATTTGCGATTGAGTACCGGCAAAGTACCCGGTATGGAAGCATCGAAATAGGAAACGGCTGAATTCAATGGTGCCCCGAATCCGGTAGCAGCTCCCGAGAATAGTTTCGATTCACTAGATATTTGTGCGTGCACTTCCAGACCCACCACACTTCTCCATTTGCTGCAAATATATTTTATTATTCGTTGAAGTTATCGCCATGCTCCTTCATATTTACCCCTTCAAAGGTTTGGGTGCTATGGCCTGTGCAGAATACAGCCTTTTGGACCAACTTCCATTCAGAAAAACGAAGTTTTTTAACATTTTGTTGCAAATGTTATGAAATGCGGGCAACAGGCATAAGGAGGTTCAAGGCTAGTTCAGAAATTGCCAATAATATTGGACCAATAATTATTTTGCCCTAGGTTTAATTCACACCAATGGCAATTCTTCCTATTCTAGTAATATATTTATTAGTGATTTCATTTATTATATTTAAATAATATAATAAATACTCCACAAGTTTCAAATATTTTGACGTTTCTTTGGTAATAGGGATTTGTAAACACATTATAATCCGTTGGTAGGGATCTATAACTCGTTTGTGGACTATGTAGTTGGGACATAAAAACAACTAATAACGCATTTACATAAGTTTTGCACATTTCGTAAACCAAAGATTTCAAAATATTCACATCTTTAAACAAAAATGACGCTCTCTTCTACTATTTGTATATTTTTTAGAAAGTTTTATACTAGAAATTTGGGCGAACAAACGTGGAAAATGTACCAGGCAGAGAATTAGACATTTATTGTTCACCCTTTATTGCATGGTACAATGAAATCAAAGTAAAATCCATGGTACAATAAGGAGGTAGAACAGCTACGTAAAACTATAGAAATACAGCCCTGAAGCCATGGTAGAAGAATATAGGTAGACGCGTCGACACAGCTGCTGAGACAATGAACTGTCAAACCAATTTTGGAATTGAAAATGTTGAATAAAAAATTATTTAAATTTGTAAACATTTTTGAAAAACGCGAGTTATAATAGCCTCCCTATGGCTTAGTATAAGAAAACATTTAAAAATCCACTTATATTTGAAAAAACATTTAATTTTTTTTTGACATATCAATGCTCCCAAACGTTGATGCATCTACCTGTATTCTTCTGCCATGCCTGAAGCTATGCCCGCTTCCTGTCAAAATTTACATTTAACAAGTTGATTTCATTTATTCGATATTTTTCCTCATGTTGAAAATGACTTGAATGCCGCGGAAATGATTGAAATGCCTGAATTTTCTTTCTAAAATATGATCTAAACTATTCGATCTTTCGATTTTGAAAATATTTTGTTTTTGTTTTTTCAAAACAATAAATATATACATAAAATTGGCAGAAGTCGGACACACTTAGTAAAAATTGTAATCAGGTGGTAGCTCTACCTTAACTTTTTATTGTACCATGGCAACTTCATTTCAAATAAGCATTCCCAGATCTGCATTTTATGTAATTTAACGTCGAATTGAATTGCATAGGTTGTTTTCAAAATGCTTATTGCGTCGACAAAATTTACAGTTTTTGTAGCACAATAAACGTTTAGAGATATATAGAACATGATTTTGAAATGAAATTGTGCACTTTCATTCAGTTTTCGCGGCTTTCAATAATATATTCGAAACCAATGCAACATGTTTTTTGGGTTTTTTGATTGTTTTGATATTAATTCTGACATTACAGGCCAAACAGGTAAATCTCTATACTTGTAATTTTTCCAAAGATAGCCTACCTTGTCCTCATTGTAAAAAAATAGACATATGTGCGATATCAAGAATTATGCATCATAAGTAAACTGGCAATTTTGACATAAACACGGAAATTCACATGGATAATAAAAGTGACAGCACATATGTAAAACCCTTATCGTCTGATAACAACTTTAGTTTCAAAAAGATGAGATAAGACAAAAGAACTACAGGAAATATTCTACCTCAACCAATGCAGAAGTAGCAAATAACCCGAAAAAGAAAGGAACTAGAATAAACAAGAAGTATAAAATCGTTCCGATAATTCCTGCCAGTGAATAGTTCCTTTGAACCCTTTCGTTCCAGAACGACACAACTCTAGAAACCAGCAACCAGCAATAAAAGAAATAAAGGAAAAAAGCAAAGAAAATGAAAAATATTGGATGTAGTTTTTGATAGTCTTACGGGCAAAAATACGCTTTAAAACAACAACGAAGAGAAGGTCGGTCGGTCGGTCTGATGGTCAGTTGGTCGGCCAGGGAACACAAAACTCATTCGCATGCAAGGTATTGTGGATTTCGATGCTAAATGTGCTGTTTTCATCGTCGAAAGATATTTGCTGCTCCCGTGCTGAATTCCACTTCGGCATAAACTTTGTAAAAATTCTGGGCTTGACAGAATTTTGCAATTTTCAATCATCATCACTAGTGCTATCGGAAAAACGGCAGACACCACGTCAAGCTGGCAGCAAGAATTTCGCAAAGAAAAACCAAAACAAGAAAGGATCAAATTTCACACATACAAAATTCACTCTGCACTATTGCTGCTGCTGCTGCCACTACTGTTGAAAGGAAGGAAGGAAGAAGGAGTTCGTTGAAAAGTGAAAGAAAGGCAACCGGCTGGAGGACACGACGAACAATAGAAATAAAACAATGAAACAAGAGAAGGTAGGTGGCGTTGATGACGATGGAAGTTGGCTACGGAAAGAGTTGGGTACATTCGTTTTGAGTTTTCATGCTTTCGAGATAACCTGGCTATCTTTAGTATGGCTGGCATGCCACCCAACCATATTGATGGTTGCATTTTTACCTTTTTCTTCAAAATAAACACATTTTTTGGAAATGTTTGGTTGCTACATCTCATCATCATCATAAACACCCTTCTATTTGCATGTTCGACAAACAAGTGTTTTTGCAAAATCTGAGGTTAGATGGTCTGCAAAATAGCATGACAATCTTACACCACTACTTGTTTGTCCATTGTTTACCTATGACGTATGTAGATGAGATGTTTGCTGCCACCTTTATTGATTTAGAATAGAATCGTTTGGAAGGAGAATGCCTAAGCTGACAGTGTTGAATTTGTGGCACACAATTTGTAGCTTAGTCATGCTGAGATTCTAACATGTGTGGAATCTTTTGAACTTTGAGCACTTTGAGGTCCGAGTTCCTGGCAGAGACTTCTTGACTCCTAACATACCCCATCAAGAAGGTGTAGCAACCCATACAGGTGGCTTCATGATTGATAACGATTTATAATAATTAGACCCAAGATTTCTTAACTATTTAGTTTCTTTTTTAAAGTTGAAAGCCTTTAATAATGGAATCCTAAAGGCTCTAAAGAGATAGAAAGCCTCCATATTCTGTCAGCGCAATGACGTATTAACGTGGATATGAGTCAGGCCAGTTGGACGATGGCTTATCGCTGATGATAACAATCGAAAAAAGCTTTAGGCATTTATATTTTCCGAACAATGTTTGAACATAGAAGACTTGCAATCCCAACGATGTTCATTTGGGAAACCGAAGAGGGGAATGAGCAGCGGTTAGACGGTTAGACCCTCGGTCTCTTGGGATCAAATCCGTTTCAGGACATTTGGAGTCGATCTAGCGATGTCCGTCCGTCTGGTTGGTAGGCAAGATAACTCTCGAAGGGAGTATCCGATTTGATCCAAACTTGGTACATAATAATATTTTTGTCAAACTTAGATCGAGTTCTGAGATTGGCCATATCGGTCCACTACTTCTGGTAACTCCCCCACAAAATGCCAACGTTTTCAAAGAAAATATTTTACTGCACCCAAAGAGAATAGATGATGAATAGATTTGGGGGGAAGGAACTCGATGGAACGAACAGATATTGTCCATTTTCGTGACCTAGCACTGATGCAAATATTAGGAGCGAAAATGGGCAATATCGGTTCATTCCATTGAGTTTCTCTCCCACAAAAGGTCAAAATTTTGAATAAGTAAAACTCTTAAGAAATGTAACGTAAGAGTCCAATTGTCTTCAGATTTCACACATCACAATGTATTCATTAAACCAAGGTCTGGTGTGAAAATGGGTTATATCGGTCCACTCTTTCTGGTACTTGCACCACAAAGACTAAAAATTTTGAATATTCATGCAACTTATAAAACACGAAATTAACATCCGATTCAATTAAGACTTAGCACATCTCAATAATTCCATCAACACAAGATCTGTTATAAAGATGGCACAGATCGGACCATTCCTTCTGGTACCTGCCCCACAAAGGGTCTAAGTTTTGAATAACCAAAACGATCATAAAATCTAAAATAAGCTTCCGGTTCTGTTCATATTACACACATCATAATATTTTCATTAAGGGTCTAAGTTTTGAATAACCAAAACGATCATAAAATCTAAAATAAGCTTCCGGTTCTGTTCATATTACACACATCATAATAATTTCATTAACCCAAGATCTGGTGTGAAGATAGGATATATCGGTCCACTCCTTCTGGTACCTCCCCCACAAAGGTTTAAAATTTTGAATATTCAAGAAACTCATAAAACACGAAATTAAAATCCGATGCCATGCTGGCTTGGAACATCTCAATATTTTCATAAAAATAAGATCTGTTATGAAAATGGTAGAGATCGGACCATTCCTTCTTGTACCTGCCCCACAAAGTGTCTAAGTTTTGAATAACCAATACGTTTATAAAATCCGAAATAAGCATCAAGTTCTCTTCAAATTACACACATCACAATTTTTGTGAAGATGGGATATATGGGTCCACTCCTTTTGGCACCTCCCCCACAAAGGTTCAACATTTTGAGTACCCATGAAGCTCATAAAACACGAAATTAACATCCGATTCCATTCAGACTTGGCACATCTCAATATTTCTATTAACGCAAGATCTGTTATAAAGGTGGTAGAGATCGGACCATTTCTTCTGGTACTCGTCCCACATAGGGGTCAATATTTTGGAAAACAAAAAGCTAAAAGAATGAGAAATTACGCCTCCAAATCTCACACAAAGGTATTTGCTAACCCAAGATCTGTTGTGAAGATGATATACATCTGCGAATCCCTTCTGGTACCTCCACCACAAAGGGTCACAATTTCCAATACTTATATTTGTCATAACTTGCGAAACTAGTCGGCGATTCGTTACAACTTGCTATATTTAAATATTTCTCTTAACCAGAAATCTGATATGAATATGTAATTTATCGAATTTTTTGATTTCGCATAAAATTGGATATTGAATGTTCGATTTTCTTCAAATTGTGCTTATATCAATATATTTATTTGCATTAGATGAAGTATGAAAATTGAATACTTCGGTCCGTTATGTCTCATTTCATATTCCACATTTTCCAAAAATTTGCTCACATCTCATATTAAGTGAAGGACGTACTCGATGTAGTCCAAATCTGGTTAGGTTAGATACGAATGGGCCAACTGCTTCAGAACCTCCCCATTAAGAGTCAACAGTTTGAATAATTTTAACTCAAGTCTGCTGGTGTACATCTGCCGGCAAAACCGACTGATACTATTTTAGTTGTTTTTAACCTAACTTTTGTGATATGTATGGCCCGGTTTATATTAACTTTTTTCATTTATATTTCGAAATTCTTCTCTTTTCATTTGCAGATTAGAGACCAAACTGAAGCAGAAAAAGACGAAGACGTAGCATTAATAGCAACTATAAAATCTGAAATCAACAACTACAACTTCAAACATTACCCCGCCAATAGCATTCAATTTAAACTGAAACCAACCCATAGAACGGCAGTCGGCAGACGTTACCATAACAAACCCAAACAGCTGGAACAAGAACTAAACGATATACAACAACAAAAGCAACAACAAATCTATAAACATCACAATTGCAATAGACAATACAACTGCAACTCCAACTCCTCCACTACTCTAACTCATAACATTGATCAATATCAGCACACTTGTCTTCTAACATAGATTCCCTCCTCCCACTTGGCTTGGCTGTATTCTTCGATAACACAAACTATACACACTCTTATACAGACAGACAGAATAACAACAAACACCCAATCAACAACCGACATTGTTTTCTTTTGCTTGTCTTGGGATTTTTTTGAAGTTGTGATAGATTTGAAGGGCAATAATGGATTTGGATAGATTATTCCATGACTTGGAGTCCAATCAAAATTATGAATGTGAAGAAGCCAAAAGGAAACTGGCGGAACATTTTACCCAGAGTGAGTATCTCCAGAATAATGGTTTATCAGTTTCTCACTTCCCTTTTCATTTCAGTCAAGGATCAATGGCTGGTTCATAATTTAATGGAATATTATTTGAAGACTGGTTCCGTCCGTATTATTGAGGTATTGATAAAAGCTCAAGCACCACACGATGGTTATATCTTTGATCGTTTGGCCGACTGGCTGAAGACCCCAGCACAGCGTGTTAATGCCTTGAATCTATTCTGTTTTGTGGTGCGCCGGCATCCGACCTGGTTGTTTAAAGTGGAAAAACATCGTTTGATAAAGGACATGCTGCATTGGTTGAAACAATTGGAGGTAGGCCCCTACTCCATTCCACACAAACTAGAGCAAACTAACATATTTTTTTCCCTGCAGATTGAAAAAGAAATTGTACCTTTGATGAGTGCCCTATTGGCCATTATCACCCTATTACCGATCATACCCAATTTAGTACCGAATTTCCTCAACGATTTGTTTGCCGTCTTTGCCCACTTGGCCTCGTGGAACAGTCAACATCCTAGTCGTTTGTCCGAAGACAAGCTGGTCCATCTTCAGCTGGGTCTGCAAATGTTATTCCATCGTTTGTATGGCATGTTCCCGTGTAATTTTATGGCATTCCTCACGGACTTTATACGCCGCGAAAAGGGTGCCATATTTCAGCATACCATAAAGCCGCTGCTGGAGACAGTACGTTTACATCCCATGCTGGTGACGGCCACCGTTGATTCGGAAATAAATTCCGAACGATGGAAAGAAATCCAGCCGCATGATGTTGTGGTGGAGTGTATGCGTCTATCGTTGCCTATGAAATTCCAGGATTTAACATCGGATGTGGCCGCCACCACAACAACAGCTGTGCTATCCTCATTGTCAAGCTCCTCAAGTACAACAACAGCAACAAGTACATTTCAACAACTAACCGCCTCGGCAACTACCTCATCAATGGGACGCCATCATTATGCCCTAAAGGATCATCAGCATCGTCTGGGTTCAGTGGGTGGTGGTGGCGCCCAATCTGGTATTTGGAGTCCTTATTATGAAATTGTAAATTCTTCACATACCCCCTTGACACCGACACCATATATGATGGCGCCGTCTACGTTAAATCAAGGCTCTTTGGGTGTTAGTGGCTGTTCTCCACCCGAAGCGGCGGTGGAGGCTACACCGGAAACCACGCCTTTGAAAGACAACCGAGAGTTGAAAAGACCTTCAATTGGCGGTGGCGGTGCCTCCGGTGTGGTTAATCCTCTAGCGGTGAGGGCCATATTTACCAATAGTCAACCCTCATCTCCACATCGGGGCAAAGATCAGCATCAGCCTCCAACGCAACACCACTATCAACAGCAACACTTTAATTTCCCTGATGTTAGCTCCTCAGGAGGTGCCAGCAGCAGCAGCACCAGTACCACCACCTACGTTGAACAGGAACTCAATACAAGGGTCATTACCCGAGTCACCCGCTACGATCATAAGGTACAACAAATGGTGCACGATCGCAACAAATCCCAAAGCCCCTTTCAGACAATAGAAGCCCAGACGGCAAAAATGGGATTTCAAACCCCAACCGAATTTTGTCGTACGCCGGACGTGGATACTCACAGCACTGGGACAGGTGGTAGTGGTGCCCGTTACTACCAATCGAATTCGATTACTCCCCTCTCGGCCCTCAACAATGACCCATGCTGTGCTGTGGCGGTGTCCTCGGCGGCTATGGACATACCCATAACCAAAGTATGTGATGAATGCAATGAAACTGATCAAACCCTGTGTACCGAAGGTGGCCTTCAAATGCCCACTAGTCATTCGATGCATCTACTGGCCAAAGGCATAAAGCGACGCAATCGCATGACCAGCTATTGTTACAATGAGAAGAGTTGTGAAAAAATCGGTGTCAATGGCAACAATTGTTCCGGAGATTCGTACAAAACGCTTCACAAGGTTCGTAGAACCAAATCCCTATCGTCGTTGTATTTGGTTTCATCGAAAACCTCACAGAGTTCCGGTGATCTATCGGATACCAATGAAGATGATGGTCTGCCATCACTGGGAATGGCAACGGCCACAACAATGCCGAATAGCGAAAGACCATTGCAAAAATGTCCCAAGATGTTGGCCATTGATTCGGTGCTGAAAAATTCAATGCAAATGAAGGCGGCGGTGACGGCGTCTGTGACGGCGCCGTGCGAAGATAAGTCGGTGCAAACGTTGGAAGCCGTACCATTGCCCAATCACGAGAATTCCTTGCTGCAAATGCTGATGGAAACCAACGAATTTCGTAACGCCTATGAGGCCAAGCGACAAACACCCAATGAAATTCTCGAACAATTCATTGCTCGTGGTCTGCGCAACAACAGCATGGACAGCTTGGACAAGGAACAATTTCAGTTGCTCTATCTACAGCTGCAGTACGAACGTTATCGTCGTGAAATACACGCTGAGCGTAATCGTCGTTTAATGGGCCGTTCACGCGACAAACGTTCCCTGGAAATGGAACGTGAACGTCTGAAGGAACAGCTGAAGGATTTCGAAATGAAAAACAAAGAGCTTAGCTCGCAACTGGACAAAACGAAAAAGGCCACCAACGAGCGGGAACGAGAATACCAAGAAGAGTTGTCCGCCCTAAAGACAAAGTATCAAAATGAATTGGAGCAGAATCGTTGCCTGCGCCAGGCCAATGAAAATCTCCAAACCAAATTGACCGATGAATTGTCGCAGCGCAAAGACATAAACTACGAAGTGGAAGCTTTACGGGGTCAGGTATTTAGTTTGACAACAGAATTGCAACATGCTCAGCAACAGGCTGAGGTGGGTATGCAGTGTCGCCAGGAATTGGCGCGACTCGAGGCCGATTTCATAGTCATGGGTGAGGTCCAAATCCGGTGTCGTGACAAGCTGGCTGAAATCGATAATTATCGATCGCGCGACGAAGAGCTGCAAGTTCTGCAAGAGGCCTATAATTTGGAGCTGAAGGGTGAGAGAGTGGACAGCCACCACAATGTCGTATTCTAAGCTAATCTAATTCCGCTCTCTTTTCAGAAATAAAACATAGCCTGGACGATAAAACCTCTCAATTAGATAGCGCCCGTCATAAAATTCAGGAATTACATTCGCAATTGTTAAACAGTGAAAAAGTGATAACTGAACAAAAGCGCCTTTTAAGAGCTGTTAAAGATGAATACCAGGAGAAATTTGAGGTGGGTGGGCAGCATTTAAAATTTGCAAATTTTAAGTGGAAATTATTTTCAATCCATCTCTCATTACAGGCCTTAAATAAAAAATATGAAATACAAAAAACAATCATGATGCAATTGGAAGAACAGTTCAGGATGACGGTGCACAAGCCCCCATCCACAGCGCCAGCACCATCTTATTCGCCGGATACCGATAAAACAGGTGGGCAAGATGGGGTTGTGATTCCGTTTAAAATAAATTTTACATTTTATGTTTTGCTTTCTTTTAGACATTGCCTCCTCGGTGGAGCGCAACTCTCCGCTGTCCACATCGTTGGCGTCGAGTGAAAGTCTATCGACAAGCCTGCGTTCCTCGGAGTTGCGAAATCTACAACCGCTATTGGAAAATCCCATAGCTGAGGTAACAAGTGGCATCAAAATTGTCGATGGCCAGCGTTTACCGCCGCAAACCTTAGATTTGGCCTCATCGGCTAACACGGCCACCAGTTTGCTAAACGATCCAAAGGAACTAAATTCACCTGAAATGATGGTGACATCAGGCGTGGGCGGCAGCAGCTCTCACACTCGTTCTATAACCATGACGCACATGCATCCACATCAACATTTGCAGCAGCAACAGTCGTCATCGTCGATGTCTTCGTCAAAACACACGATACAAACACAAGCAACGAAAGCAACAACTTCATCAGCATCATCATCAGCCTCAATAGCAGCCGCAGCAGGGAATCAGGAAAAAACACATCAGCAAAATCGTTGATCATTGCCACACCAATAGTTTTCACACACAAACACACACGCACTTGGAGAGTGAAATGTGTTGCCTTTTAAGTTCTGTCTTTGTTGTAGACGTACACACACACTCGAAAAAAATCACAAGCTAAGCTGCCCTCTGAAATTTGGAAAACATTATGCTCCCTTTTCTTTGCTTCTTACAAATTTTGTAATAAACGATAATAATGCCAAGCAAAACGCCCATAACGAATCTTCTCTTGTAATAACAAAACAAACAACAAAGTCGACACAAGGACAACGATTTACTGACACTGGTGGTCAAGGTTTTAAAACTCAGCAAACATTTTTATTACACAACAACACTGCTAGCAGACAAAATGACAGCATCCAAAACGAGAGGGAAAGAGAGAGAAGAAACTCCCCGGCTTCTACACAACCCCCCTTCATCACTACTCCTCCCCCTGCCACCAACTCACAAATTGCTTTAATTAGTTCTATATACCTCTTATTTAAATTAATATGTGTTTTTGTTTCGGTATCTTAGAAATAATAAGCCTAATTTACAACAGCACAGCAACAATACCAACTACCCCAGCAAACAAATCACACTTCTAAGACAAACTGGAAACCCCACAACAACAACAACAACAACAAACACCACCACCCACTCACTTATCTATCTACCATAACAATAATAACAATATGTTATGAAACTAACCCAAAACTAAGAAGGAAGAAGGATCAATAACAGAAATCCATCTACAAACTATTATTATAAATAAACAAACAACAACAAAAAAAAATCGAAAAATATCAACAACAACAACAAAAGAAAACAATAAAGCAAATCAAAAATCTATTAATGTTGGGTTTTATTTTGGGCCCTTTATGGTACTATAATGTCACAAGAAGTCCATAGGAAACTAGAGGCAAGTATACAACACATTCCCATCATGGGAGTTTCAAAGAAAGCTCTAAAACGGTAGTTAGAAGGTAAGCTTTTAATAACCTCTACCATTTTAAAACTTCACTTTTGGCCAAATCGACTGCCCTCAATGGTATTAAATTTTGTTGCAAGGAACTAATCTACCCGTAAAGAACCCAAAGTATTAACCGAGCGAAACAAACTCTGCGAGTTCGAACCAAAAGTCGGAAGAATCTTCTGATTTCGGATGCAAATTAGGTCTGGCCTTTGACCAAAAGATGTTGATGTATTGTCGCATGGGAAATTTGGAAGGGGAATTAGCGTTGTCGGACCAACAAATGTTATCACACAAGCAGAAGAGAGAACAAATCTACTAGAAAACAAGAAAAAAAGCTGTAAGTTCGACCGGGCCGAATTTTGAATACTCTGCACCATTTGGAACGAATTTGGCAATTTTCAAAATAATAAAATCCGTTAAAAATTCTCTCAAAATCTTAAAAATACCGAATGTAGCCGTTATATTAGGGTCTATACGACGACGTGGATCTGCATAGGCAACTTTTGTCATAAGCCATAACAATATTCAAATGCGAAACTTGAAAAATAAATCGGGAATAATGTCGCTAAAATCATCAAATATTGAATATCGGGAGGTACTATTGTACGGGGGCTATACCAAAAAGTGGACCTGCACAGACAATTTTCTGTCATAGGCTGTAATATCCATTACGAACTTCAAATACCAAATTTGGAACAATTCCGGTGAATAATGTCGCTAAAATCATGAAATACCGAATAATGGGAGGTATCGTGGCTATACGAAGACAATTTTCTGTCTTAGGTCGTAGTATCCATTACGAACTTCAAATACCAAATTTGAAACACTTCCGGTGGATAAAGTTGCTAAAATAATATAACGAATATCGAGAGGAGCAGTTATATGAGGGCCATACGAAGACGTGGACCTGCACAGACAATTTTCTGTCATAGGCTGTAATATCCATTACGAACTTCAAATACCAAATTTGAAACATTTCCGACGAATAATGACGCTGAAATCATCAAAATGCCGATATAGGGAGGTACCGTTGTATGGGGGCTATACGAAGACCTGCATATACAATTTTTTGTCTAGGCTATGTATCCACTACGAACTTCAAATACCAAATTTGAAACCATTCCGGTGAATAATGTCGTTAAAATCATCAAAACACCGAATATCGGGAGGTACCATTAAATGGGGGCTATACGAAGACCTGGACGTGCAGAGACAATTTTCTGTCATAGGCTGTAGTATCCATTACGAATTTCAAATACCAAATTTGAAACAATTCCGGTGAATAATGTCGCTTAAATCATCAAAATACCGAATATCGGAAGGAGCCGTTATTTGGGGCCTATACGATGACGTGGACCTACATGGCCCATTTTCGATACCAAAAGTCATGCAGACTTAATATACATTTGAGTAAAATTATATCAATCTACTTCATTTCGTTCGGGAGTTAGAGTGATTTCCACAGACGGGCATCGCTAAATCGACATAGAATTTTATGCTGATCAGAGGGTCTAAAATGTATATTTCGAGGTGTTACAAACGGAATGACAAACTTAATATACCCGACAAATTGGCAGAATTCGGTCAGACACGTCGGAAAAAACTTCAGACTTTTAGCAGACGTATCGGACGTCCGACATTTGCTTCAGCTTTCAAAATACCGTTATGAAGTTGTAGGATCTCGTACTGTGGTGTTCGTTCTGATATCTTTTCTAATCTGGTTCTGTTTTTAACTCCAAGCTCTAAAAGGAAGCTACATGTCTTGTTTGGGTCCAAAGCGACACGGGACTTAGGTGAGTAGTTTTGGCTGGCCAGTTGAATAGGTGCAGAGTGTCATGTGTCAATTCGACCCCATATGAATTTAGGCGTTTGCACCATCCAAATCTTCAGCTGAAATGGAAGACGGATAATCTTCGAGTATGGTATTCACTTTGTATTCTGCTATAATTCCAGTGACCGCGGAAGAGTGAATTTTATTCTGCCCTGTTTGATAGGCCTGTTGATCTAGAAGCTCTATCTTAAATATCTGTGCGTCTCTCTCTCTCTCTCTCTTTTATATCTATGTACCTCTCTCTCTATAGATCATGAAGCTCTCTCCTTACTTGCCTGGACGAAAGTTGCCTATCCACCAGATGGTGTGTGGGATGGTTGTGTTTATAACACCCAAGCAAGTATTGGATAAGGAGGCATCCTGTTGCGGTCCTTAGGACGGCGTTATGGCGGTACTGAGCGCGTTTCCTTTGCGAAGCACATAGTTTACCACAGACCGGCTTATTGCTTTGTAAGAGGGGAAACAACTCTCCGATCAGGGGCCGTCAACCCAGTTGGGATTAAAACTACTCGCTGAGAACCCAGAATATCTGATTATAGCCGATTCGGTTGGAGATTGCGACCAAACCTTTTGAAATAATGAAAATAATAAGTTGCTTTATGTGGGAGTTTTGCCAAAAAAAAAAAAACTGATCTGCGCTGAATATTTTTTTGGGAGGAAATAGACCAATTAGTGGCCCAATATAACCATTTTCAATAATAAACATCCTTTCAATGCCCATGCTAAATTTATTCAGTAGTACGAGCCCTGTCGTTATTTCCAGTTTTAGTTGTCCCCGAAGAACGGGCGAAAAAAAAATCAATATTCTCTTTAGTGTATGGTAGAGGTTGGAGATATTAAGGCCTTCAATTTTCTTGTTGCAGATGAGCTTCAGTGGACTATCAAGAGTAGATTTGGTTGACATTTTATGAGGTAAATTGTTTTTCAGCACCGCTGCTAAAACGCAAGGCAATGAAGTTTGACTCGAAACCTCTAAACTTACATACAAACATGTCAGTTTGCCTCTGGTCAGGGGCCGTCAACCCAGCAAATATATGCCACCATTATGTGGGGGCTTTATATTTAAAAAGGGGACCAACATTATACCATTTTTTTGTTGGGAGTAGAACTACTCGCTAAGAACCCTGAATATCCCATTATAGCCGATTTGGTTGGAGATTGCGACCAAACCTTTTGAAATACTGAAAATAAAAAGTTAATAGTTTAGTTTTGCCAAAAAAAAGTTGATCTACGCTGAGAATTTTTTGGTAGGAGATAGACCAGTTGGTGGCCCAATATATACAATCTTCAATAATTAACATCCTTTCAATGTCCATGCTAAATTTCTTCAGTAGTACGAGCCCTGTGGTTATTTAAAGTTTTAGTTGTCCCCGAAGAACGGATGGAAAATTCAATACTCTATTGTATGGTAGAGGGCGTATTATAGTATTAAATTTTCTTGTTCCAGATGAGCCTCAGTAGACTATCAAGAGTAGATTTGGTTGAAATTTGTTTTTCAGCACCGCTGCTAAAAACGCAAGGCGATGAAGTTTGACTCAAAACCTCTAAACTAACATACAAACCTGACAGCAACTGGTTTGTTTTCCCCAGCTGAAATGAATGGACGAAAGTCAGTTTACCTCTGGTCTTAAAGGCATTAAAATATACCAATAAACAGCTGTGGCCGAAAACTGGTTTCAATTAAAATTTGAAGTCGTTCTAAGGTGATGAATTGTCTGGAAAAAATTATTTTTTCGAATGAAAGAGAATTTGACAAATTTGCATGTAAAGGCTCAGAAGCTCTCTGAGAGGGTTTCTCAACTGAAACATTATGTTTCTTACTTCTTGCTTAATAACTATTCAGTACTCTTCTATATCAAAATAGCAATGGACCAAAGATCGGTCTATGGATGAAGGGGATTCCAGTCATGAATCAGGATTAAAATGCGTATGGAGTTCCCAACCAAAATTTCACTGGGGCATATTTATGTTGCTTTAATTTCTCCTTCGATAACTCCATCTATAATTAAATCATCATTCGCACATTTTGTGAGTATACATTCCACAATGTTTATTGGGAATTGGCATAATATTTGAATAATATTTTTAAGCCCTACAATTTTTTTTCTTGGACAAGAATATTGTCTTTTGATAGAGATTTTATATTGTTATGAATATTATTGACGATGTTTGGAAAACAGAGGACATGGATATTTTACTAGATGACTTAATTAAATGAAATTATTTTAAATTATACAATTATGGTGTGTGTGTGTGTGCCAGTAATTACATTCTTATTTGGCAAATTTTTATAAATTGACAATTAACTTAACCTACATATGTATGTATATAAATATAACTTGTTCACTGCCTGGAATCAGTTTCAAACATAATAACTACAATAAAATGAGATAATAAAAGTAGTAGAAAACATATGCATACAATAAAAAATATTAATACAATTTCGTCTTCGAGCACGATGCGATCGATGTGATGATGTTGCCCAGTACATTGAGAACGTTTACAATGACATTGCTGTGAATAGCACAACTATTTTGCTTGTTCCGAATCGCTGGAGGACATTGCAGGTGGTGTAGAACGACCGTCTTGCTGTACTTGATGTTGGTTCACCAAACGTTGACGTTCCAAGTACATGGAAACCTTTATGTTGCGCACTTGATGGTTGTTGATCAGTTTCAGGAGGGCAATTACGCCAATGCCCACATTAATGGCAAATGCACCCCAGGCACCAAACTAGGGAATACAAAAAGGGAAAATATTAAAATGCAAAAACATTAAAAATCATTAGACTACTGCCTTGCCATACCTGTGCCGTTCCCATTTCAATGTAAAACCTGGAATTATCAATATTATCCGTATTGGCATGTATGATATTTTGTCCAGCTGTAATTTCACACGTTGGAAAACGTTCAGTCATGCCATCGCACCAGACAATGAAACCCAATGTGATCATTATCGATGAGATAATGGACATTGCCAGCATCCAAATGCTTAGGACCACATCAACAAACAGAGCCAAAAATGATTCCTCATCCTTCATGCGGG